ACACTTTCGGGCGTCTTAGCGCCAAACGCGACCAAACGCGCCGTTCCTGTTCTGTTTTTCCATGTTTCTAGTGCCTTAATCGGCGGTCGGTCTAGTCCACCGAGCCAAACGTCCCGATCACAACCCGGATTCCCGGATTATGCCATCAATGGCCCTGACACGCTACCTGACCTGACCCTGAGGAGAGCCTCTTTCGGCCATTCACCTGTAATCAGCCCCGCCGTGATGTGCTCTGTTCTGACCCGATCCGTGACTTGACCTGATATGGCGCGCACGTCATTGTCTAATGCTGACACATCCCGGGTTCGACGCTCACAATGTCGGCTACGTCCTGACCGGCGGATGCACACGCCGCCCTGACCTTGACCCTTGCTCTGACTTTACCCGTGCCTGACCCCGGCCTGTGATCTAAGCCGAGCGACGCCGCCGCCGCAGGCTGGCCGAGAGTCTTCGGCCGGTGAGGCTGCGCCGCGTGGTGCTCGGCTACCCGTGCCCGGACAAGTGGTCGCACTTTCGCTTCGACCTCTCACTCAACTACAAGCTGGCCGCGGTGCTGCACACGTACTCGGACCAGAAACCGGCGCTGGTGGGTGGCGCTGCGGCCGGGCCGCTCCTCCCCTCCCCTCCCCTCCTCTTCCCTCCCCTCCCCTCCCCTCCCAGCGGCGGGCGGCGGCATGGCGCGGCACTGTGTCATGGTTTGAGCCCCCGTTCATGCCTCGGTGTCATGGTTTGAGCCTCGGTTCATGCCTCGGTGTCATGGTTTGAGCCCCGGTTAATGCCTCGGTGTCATGGTTTGAGCCACGGTTCATGCCTCGGTGTCAAGGTTTGAGCCTCCTCGGTTTGGAGAGACGTCTTCGTTAACTCCGGTCACAGTGTGTTATTTGGGGAGCGGCGTTTGAACACTGTCAGGCAGGATAATGCTCTCAGCGTGATGGCGATCGATTCCACGATTTTACCCGAAGTCACCTCGTGTGTTTCTCGCCTGTGGTGCCCGCAGAGGCATGTACGCGTGGCGGCACGAGCACAGGCTTAAATGCTTGAGGATGCGCTCGTGCCATATGATAGCGGACAGGCTGTCGAAGCTGGCGCTCTTCCCTCGTCATCGACGCCGGGGCGTGTCGGCAGAGGAGGCTGGCAGGGTACACCGTGCGCTAAGCGCTTATGGTTGGGATAGCATGTGTGTGCTCCGCGGCTGTTGGTGACGCGCCGCGGTCCGCGCTGCCAGGTGTTCTGCTCCACGCGGAAGGGGTGTCAACAGGCGGCGGCGGTGCTCGTGAAGGAAGCGCGCTTCGTGTCTGGCGCCGAGCACAAGGTCCGTCTGACGAGGGTGGCCAACCTGGTGACCGACGGCGGCGTCCGAGGTCAGTCCACGCCCACACCGGGGTCCTCGACGCGCCTGCTGTGTTGTCATGGCGACGCTGCCCCGGGCCCGTCTGTGGTTGCCATTGCGTCCGTACAGGGGCGTGTCGGGTTGCCCACGCCGGGAGGCTGTCGTGTGTGTGATGTTTCGCGTCCGCGCCGTTCAGCATGGAGCTGGTGGGCAAACAGCTGGCCGACATGCCCGTGGGAGTGACGAGGAGTCAGCCAGAGGACTCTGTGATTGGTTCTGACGTGACGCTGTTTGCCAGAGGACTCTGTGATTAGTTCTGACGTGACGCTGTTTGCCAGCGCGTTGCGACGACGGTTGGAGCGTGCCACCCGCCTGCGTGGTGAACATGCTTCCATGCCTTGTGAGCCCCGTTTTCGCGTCGCCAATGCCGCCCAGCGGCCCAGCCCGGCTCGAGCGCCAGGCCTGCGAGCCGGGCGCCGGCTGCCGAGGCAAAGCGGTCCGCTCGCGTCTGGCCCTGCCGACCGCCATGTCTCGCTGCAGAGCTGTTGCTGCGCGGCGTTGGGGTGCACCACGCCGGTCTGGCGCCGCACGACCGCCACTGCGTGGAGCAGCTCTTCCTCGACGGCGACCTGCCCGTGCTCTTCTGCACCAGCACACTCGGTCAGGGACGGCCGCTCGGGCGCGCTCGGGCGCGCTCACGGGAAGGTCCGGATCGAGGTTCGGGCGCGCACAGTCTGCCTACGTGAACAAAGGCATGAGCGCGACGTGGGAGGGACACGCCAAAAAGTAACGTGCCAGCAGTGCATCAAGGTGGCGGCGTGGCTCATAAGGATGGGCTGTTTTTGGGTCCCTTGATACCTTTGCGGCTGCAGACATGCTCATATTCCCCAAATGGGAACGGGTTGTGTTCATAGCTCACTTGATTGCATTTTAGGAGGACGGGATGGATACCAAATGAGGTAGGGCGTTGCTGGCCCCCATTGGAGCAGGCTTTCGTAAATTATTTGAGCATAGGTTCTCTTTTTGCTGTTTTTTCTGAGATTTTACCCGAAAGTCCAATTCTGCACGATTGATATATATCTGTGGCCTGATTTAACGCTAAGCTCACAATGAAGTTCGCTTTATTTGATGTTAATTCAATTCCCTTTATTGTGCTCGTGTGCGCCTAATGATTGCTCGCGAAAGGCATTACCATGGACATAAATGTGTGGAGTTAAGGCTTAAGTGTTCGCAAGAAAGCCTGGTTCTCCGCCTGAGCTAGGTCTGCTGGTACGCCAGCATGGCCCGAGCGCGCTGCGCCCGGCCGACCGGAGAGCAGGGCTTAGGCGGCTGCGTTGACGGCGGGACGGCGGCGGGCATGTGCTGACGCCTCCGCCGGCGACCGGCAGCGATGGGAGTGAACCTGCCGGCGCACCTGGTGGTGGTCAAGTCGACCAGCCACTACACTGCCGACGGCTGCGGGCCGTACTCGGACGCCGAGGTGCTGCAGATGACAGGCCGGGCCGGCCGGCCGCAGTTCGAGACCTCCGCCACCGCTGTCATCATGACGCAGGTCCAGCACAGGGTCAGTGGACGCGCGAGGCGCATGGCGCTCGCGCCGGGCCTGTCGCTCCCCGTCAGCCTCGACTGCTGTTGCAAGCATATTGTGCACCATCGGGTTAGCTGAATGGGCCCGTGCGCCACGCATCTGTAACATCCTAGCCGATGGTGGGCCTTTGAGAATGTTTAAGGGTTCCTCGATACTGCGATGCTCAGTAACGTGTATGCATCCATTGTACAGCATTGTGCTGGTTCAGAAATCGAAATCACCCGCTTGTGCCGGGTGGCCTCCTACTCTCCGACGTAATGCACCCCAGCTGACGAGTCACCCGGCATCCCGCTCTGTCCCGGCTGTGACCCAGTGCCCCGCACTGACCTGGCCATGAATTCGTGTCCCGCTCTGACCGGGATGTGACCTCGTGTCCCGCTCTGACCGGGACGTGACCTTGTGTCCCGTTCTGACCGGGCCGTGACCCGGTGCTCCGCGCTGACCTGACCATAACTTCGTGTCCCGCTCTGATCAGGATGTGACCTCGTGTCCCGCTCTGACCGGGGCGTGACCTCATGTCCCGCTCTGACCGGGCCATGACCGGTGCTCCGCGCTGAGCCGGCCGTGACCCCGTGCCCGGGCACGCGCGCAGAGCCGGTACGAGGCACTGCTCAGCGGCACACAGCTGACCGAGTCGTGGCTGCACCTGCACCTGATCGCGCATCTGAACGCCGAGGTGGTGTTGGGCACGGTGACGGACGTGGAGGTGGCGCTGCGCTGGCTGCGCTCCACCTTCCTGTACGTGCGCGCGCTGCGCAACCCGACTCACTACGGCCTGCCGCCTGGCCTGCCGCGCCGTCAGGTGGAGGATCGACTGCAGGGTGAGAGCCGGTGCCGCGCGCAGGGGCGTGCGCGCCCCGACTGGCTGGCCGCTCTGGACACCTGGTGGTATGCGTTGGGCGGGGAAGTCTTGTGCGGGGAGGCGACCGCGGAAAATCGTCTGTTTTTGGCAGGAACGATCTCCTTTTGACGGGACGTACCGTCTTCTGTCAGTGGGCCTGCTGGCCTTGCCTGTGGCTGGAGCAGAGCACTATTTTGCGGATATCTAAGAATTTCAGTGGATAATGTCGTGTCGATAATGGATAATAATGTCGATAATGTCGTGTCAATAATGATAATAAATAATAATGTTCAGTGGATAATGTCGTGATAATGTCGTGTAGTGGATAATGTCTGTTATCTGTGTCGCACCCGTGAGACAGCATGAGAGACCCCCTGAACGTGACGGGACAGAGGTGTCCAGTGATAACGCACGACGCCCTGCCGTGCCGCAGACCTGTGCATGGTCGAGCTGAACCGGCTGGCGGCGGCTGGCCTCATCTCGAAGGGCGAGGTCGAGGTGTCGGCCACACCGTCCGGCCGCCTCATGGCTCGCTTCTGCATCTCATTCCAGACCATGCAGACGCTCCAGCAGGTGAGGCTGGCGGCGCCTTCAGACATTGACGCGGCAAACTCAGTGTGCTGCCCGGCTATGTGGTGGCGGATATGCCAGACTTTTCGGGCGAGGGCAGACACACCTTTAGTCGTTTCGTATACGTTTGCGTTGTACTGCCGTGGTGTTCTGCAGCTTTTGGTTTTTATCTTGACTGTCCTTGGATAAAGCTGGATTATGTACCGTTGGTATGAATATACCACCGGATGTACCACGTGGATTACAGCTGTGAGCTATGAGGATGAGGCAGAAGCGCCTAAACATTCACTGATCTCGTCTGCACTCTCTTCTGCGTCGGATAGAAAACTCGGGTGAGGCGTTCAGCGCGTGCCCGGGCAGCCTGGCGACGACGGACGCCAGAAGCCGTGCGTGGCTGACAACCTGCACCTCAGATCGATCAATCTCAAGACCGCTGACCAAAACATATGTGCTAATCTGACCAGTACACCCAGACATCTGCTCTTTACTTGTACCGCTCCCTACGGGATACAGATGCCCCGGGCCTGCACGTGGTACTGCTAGCTCGGTCTGATCTGTGTGACATCAGATGAGGCCTGTGTGACGTCAGACGAGGTCAGTGTGACGTCAGATGAGGTCAGTGTGACGTCAGATGAGGCCTGTGTGACGTCAGGTGAGGCCTGTGTGACGGC